GCTACGGAATGCCCAAGAAGATGGACTTGACCGACCATTGGGAGTTCCGCAGTGGTATAGCCCTCGCGCTCGGTGCTATGACAAATTTATTTGAGGGCGAGCAGATTGTTGAGTTCCTGCGCTTCCTGATTGAGAGGGGTCCATTGATTGACAAGAGCTCCGTGGTGAGATCCCAGATGGCGGAGAGTGGTCGATCCGTCATCGCCGCACGTGGCCAGCAGGTTGTGGAGGAGTTGATGAAACTTCTGGAAACTACATTGGAAACATCCGACAAGGGGAGCGAGACTTCTGACTTGCTCAATGAGGCTGTGGTTGTTCTGTACGGATCCTTGGCCCAGCATCTTAAAGCAGACGACCCTCGTCTACAGATTGTCCTTAAGAAACTTCTGGGCACTCTGCCTACGCCTTCGGAAAGCGTGCAGTCTGCAGTTTCTGGGTGCTTGCCACCCCTCATCCGACTTTGCGGCCCTCAGCAGAGCGGACAGTATGTCAAGGATATGCTGGATCAACTTTTACAGTCTAAGAAGTATGCTACTCAACGTGGTGCAGCCTATGGTCTCGCTGGTATTGTCAGTGGCCGGGGTATCTCCACGCTGCGCGAATTCCAGGTCATGGCTCATCTACAGGATGCTTCGGAGAACAGAAAGGAGCCCCATCAGAGACAGGGTGCTTTACTGGCATATGAACTGTTCGCGACCATTCTTGGTCGAACATTCGAGCCATATGTTATTCGGATTGTCCCTCAACTCCTCGCTAGCTTCGGAGATGTGAACGCAGACGTCCGTGATGCCTGCCTCGATGCAGCTAAGGCCTGCTTCTCGAACCTCAGCTCGTATGGTGTCAAGCAGATTCTCCCGACTCTTCTTGATGGTCTCGATGACACGCAGTGGCGTAGTCAGAAGGGAGCTTGTGATCTTCTGGGTGCTATGGCTTATTTGGATCCCCAGCAGCTGGCGGCCAGTCTGCCTGACATTATCCCCCCGCTAACAGTTGTCTTAAATGACACGCACAAGGAGGTGCGTAATGCAGCCAACCGCAGCTTGCAGCGCTTCGGTGAAGTTATCAGCAATCCTGAAGTCAAGAGTCTGGTCAACGTACTCCTCAAGGCGCTGAGTGACCCCACTAAATACACTGACGAAGCTCTCGACTCGCTCATCAAGGTGTCTTTCGTTCATTATCTGGATGCTCCTTCCTTGGCTCTCGTCGTTCGTATCCTCGAGCGCGGTCTCGGCGACAGGTCGAATACGAAACGCAAATCTGCCCAGATTATTGGCAGTTTGGCTCATCTTACGGAGCGCAAAGACCTCATCTCTCACCTACCGATCATCGTTTCCGGTCTGCAGCTGGCTATTGTTGATCCTGTACCCACTACCCGTGCTACAGCTTCCAAAGCCCTTGGATCGCTCATTGAAAAGCTTGGAGAAGATGCCCTTCCCGATCTCATTCCCAATCTCATGGCTACGCTCAAATCGGATACCGGCGCTGGTGATAGGCTGGGATCCGCTCAAGCTCTTTCGGAGGTGCTCGCAGGCTTGGGTACTACCAGACTGGAGGAGACGCTGCCTACTATTTTGCAGAATGTCAGCAGCTCGAAGCCATCTGTTCGCGAAGGCTTTATGACCCTCTTCATCTTCCTTCCCGCTTGCTTTGGAAACAGCTTCGCTTCCTATCTTAGCAAGATCATCCCCCCAATCCTTTCTGGTTTGGCTGACGACGTCGAATCTATTCGTGAGGTCTCGCTCAAGGCTGGTCGCTTGTTGGTCAAGAACTTCTCCTCCAAGGCCATTGACCTGCTTCTTCCGGAGCTTGAACGTGGTCTTGCGGACGATAGCTACCGCATCAGGTTGAGTTCCGTTGAGCTGGTTGGTGACCTTCTTTTCAGTATCACTGGTATCACAGCCCGGGCCGATGCAGAAGAGGAAGAGGAAGAGGCCGCCCAAGCTGGCCAGTCGCTTCTCGAAGTTCTCGGAGAGGAGAGAAGGAACAAGGTCTTGTCTGCGCTCTTCATCTGTCGCTGCGATACTTCCGGTCTTGTCAAGAGCGCCGCTATGGGTGTCTGGAAGTCACTTGTCGCTTCGCCCAAGACCCTCAAGGATATGGTGCCCACTCTATCTCAGCTCATCATCCGCCGCCTTGGCTCTTCTAACATGGAGCACAAAGTCATCGCTAGCAACGCTCTGGGAGACCTTATCAAGAAGGCCGGAGAGTCTGTTCTCGCGACTTTGCTTCCTACCCTCGAGGAAGGTCTTCAGTCATCTCCCGATGTGGATGTGAGACAGGGTATCTGCATTGCTTTGAGAGAGCTTATCACCTCTGCTTCTCCTGAGGCTCTTGAGGACTACGAGAAGGTTCTCATCTCGACTGTCCGGGTGGCTTTGGTTGATAATGATGAGGACGTGCGTGAGGCTGCCGCCGAAGCATTTGACGCTTTACAACAGATTCTTGGCAAGAGGGCCGTCGATCAGGTCCTTCCTCATCTCTTGCTTCTGTTGAGGACCAGCGACGAGGCAGAGCAGGCACTGTCAGCCCTCCTGACACTACTCACTGAGCAGACGCGAGCCAACATTATCCTGCCGAACCTCATCCCTACTCTTCTCACCTCTCCGATCTCAGCATTCAATGCCCGGGCTCTCGCCTCCCTCGCGGAAGTGGCAAGCAGCGCTATGACACGTAGACTGCCTACGATTCTCAACTCCCTGATGGATAATATCGTGTCTACTACCGACGAGGAGCTTCGACAAGAGCTCAGCAGTGCTTTTGATACCATCTTGGTGTCTGTTGACGAGAATGACGGTCTCAATGTGATGGTGAATGCCATGATGACTCTTCTGAAGCACGATGACCACGTCCGTCGCGCTGCTGCTGCGGTTCATCTCAAGAACTTCTTCGCGAATGCTGAAATCGACTATTCCAGATACCATCAAGACTTGATCCGGGTCTTGCTCATTTCTTTCGATGACGGCGACAAGGATGTTGTGAAGGCCGCATGGGCAGCACAGAGCGAGCTTACATCTCATCTGCGCAAGGAAGAGATGGAGGTTCTTACGATCCCCACGCGACAGGCGTTACGTTCTGTGGGCGTTCCTGGCGCCAACCTTCCAGGTTTCAGCCTCCCCAAGGGTATTACCGCTGTTCTGCCGATCTTCTTGCAAGGTCTCTTGAACGGAAGCGTCGAGCAGCGTACTCAAGCCGCTCTTGCCATCAGCGATATCATTGATCGCACTGGTGCGGACTCTCTGAAGATATTCGTCACGCAAATCACGGGTCCTCTTATCCGTGTCGTGTCTGAGCGGTCGGTGGATATCAAATGTAAGTCCTTCTCTTCATTCTTACAAAGCTGTTGTCTTCGGTCCTTTAACTTACGATGAACTTCAGGTGCCATCTTCTTCACTCTTAACAAACTCCTGGAGAAAATTCCGTTGGCTGTCAAGCCATTCTTGCCCCAACTTCAACGGACGTTCGCCCGTGGTCTGGCCGACTCTACTAGCGAGACTTTGCGCAACAGGGCCGCCAAGGGCCTTGGAATCCTGATCACTTTGACTCCTAGGGTCGACCCTCTTATTGCGGAACTCGTTACTGGAACCAAGACACCCGACGTTGGAGTGAGAAATGCAATGATGAAGGCACTTCAAGAGGTTGTCGGCAAGGCCGGCGCCAACATGAGTGAAGCTTCGAAGAATGCTATTCTGGCCCTGATCGATGACGAAGCCAGCGATCAGACTGACGCTGTAGCTATCACCAATGCCAAGCTTCTGGGTGCTTTGGTCAAGGTGCTTCCACCAGCCACAGCAGGCCCACTCATCAAGAACAGAGTCCTGACAGCCAATGTCTCTCATTCTTCGATTTTGGGTCTCAATGCTCTGCTTGTCGAGGCGCCTTCCGCGTTGACTGAGCATTTTGCCACTGAGACGCAGGCTGTCATCTGCCAAGGTGTCACCAACAAGGATGTAAGTGTTTCCAGCATGTAGGACCACGGACCGCGCTAACTCCTGATAGCCCTTTATTTCCGACAACAGCGTCTTGGCTGCAGGTAAATATCTGCTTATTGAGGATGAGCATCGCAACTTCGAAGTCAACAAAGCCATTTTCGAAGCGTTGGCGCCTTGCATTCAGCCAGGTGGGCCCTCCGATACCCGGAGATTGGCTTTGGTGGTCCTGCGGACCGTCAGCCGACTTCATCCGAAGTTGACTCGGCCGCACCTGGCTCTCCTTGCGCCCCCCATCTTCGGCAGTGTGCGCGACATGGTCATCCCTGTGAAGTTGGCGGCGGAGGCTGCCTTCCTCGCGATCTTCTCTGTGGTAGAGTCTGAAAGTGCCGTATTCGACAAGTACATGGCTGGCCCTGGGGCTGAGCTTCCGCCGGGCCCCAAGCGGAGCATGTCTGACTACTTTAAGCGTGTTGCCTTGCGTCTTGCCAGCCAGGCCCGAGAGCGAAAGGAGGCGGAGGGTGGACAGGGTGGGCTAGGTCTGTCCAATGATGAGGTTGATGACGAGAAGGAAGTGTGGAGCATTGGCAAGGTCGATCTTGGAGAGGGGACGTTTGGAGATGATTGATGGTAGGATGATGTTGTGAAGTAGACTTGATCTAGCAGTGGCATGAATTAGATTTATACCCTTGTATCGGGGGTTGAGGTTGATTCTGATGGGGAAGCCTTGGAGGAAAGAAGGAGAAGGTTTTAGGAATGTTTTATGTTTATAGGAATGTCATATGTTATTGGTATATGGTCCATGTCATTCGATGTCATAAGGTAAGTACTACTAATGCCTAGACTAGGTATCCATGATCTTACTTGGTGGTACTTAGTGTCGACTCCATTCGTACTTGGCTGTCTAGACTTGGACTAGCCCTATCTACTTATCCATGGAGTACGGATAGATAAGAAACACCCATGAGCTTATCAGTCACGTGCTGGTCGGTCGGCGGAAACCAACATCAGAGAAACCATCAAGAGAAGAATCGAGCAAGAGGATGCAGAGAAAGGTGGAAAACAAGAAAAAAAATGGCAGACAGCCTCAGCATCCATGTAACTCGTCTAGGTCAGATAACACTGCGAAACCTATACCTGACTCGTCTGTACATGGAGGTGAGGCTCTGGCGGCGGAACCCCAGATCGGGACAAGCGGCTGGGGCACAAGCCCTAGGGTGGATTTTCTCGCTTAGAGGCACAGTGGCTTAGCTAATCAGTGGGCGTATCTCAAACTCCTCAGCTGGGAATTCTACCCGTCGTCGAGTGCAACGAACATCATCCGCCAACGACCGTCGATACGCCGACATCAAGATGTGAGTCCTATTATCGATTTGTGCTCGTGTCGTTTGAGAGGAGAATTACGGCCCTTCGATGGACTACTTTTTTGGCCCTTTTGCCCAACCATGCACCACCTCCTCCGCATATGCCCATCGAGGGGCCCTTATCACTCCTCCACTCGTCGACGAAGCAAAGGAATTTCTCGGATCGCGTTGGACTGCATGCTGACCTTCTGGTTTTTTTCCCACACAATAGGGTCAACCTTCGCACCCAGAAGCGCCTCGCGGCCTCCGTGGTCGGCTGCGGCAAGCGCAAGATTTGGCTCGACCCCAATGAGATGAATGAGATCTCCAACGCCAACTCCCGTCAGACCATCCGCAAGCTCGTCAGCGATGGCCTCATCATCCGCAAGCCCGTCACCATGCACTCGCGCGCCCGTGCCCGTGAGCTCGCCGCCGCCCGCAGAATCGGCAGACACCGTGGTCTGGGTAAGCGCAAGGGTACCAAGGAGGCTCGTATGCCCAGGTATGCACTCCCGACTCTCTCTCGCCTCCACGCAACGGAAGGATCGGTCTTAGGCTTTGGATATGACTGGACTGCGATACTGGAAATCTCGGTTGAAGACAGAAGGTGCTGACATGCGGTTTTCTTCCCTCACAACAGCCAGATCCTTTGGATGCGCCGCATGCGTGTTCTCCGCCGCCTGCTCGTCCGTTACCGTGCCTCCGGCAAGATCGACAAGCACCTGTACCACGAGCTCTACCACCTGAGCAAGGGTAACACCTTCAAGCACAAGCGTGCCCTCATCGAGCACGTAAGTTGACTCCTTTGTCTGCTTTGCTGCACGAACCGCCTTTTTTGTCACGAACCCACCACATTTCTTGGAACTACACATAGTCCTATGGCGAGCTGGCAGAACTTGATGGAGACTAGGAACTAACCCGGTTTCTTTCACCCACCACAGATCCAGAAGGCCAAGGCTGAGAGACACCGTGAGCGTGTCCTCAAGGAGGAGATGGACGCTAAGCGTGCCAAGAACAAGGCTCTCCGTGAGCGCCGCTTGGAGCGCAAGGAGGCCAAGCAGAACGCTCTGGTCGCCGAGGCCCAGGAGTAAATTTCTTCTGTTTGACGAACTTTGGCGGTGCGGAGGTTGAAAAGCGGGGGATAATGGGTTAATCGATCAGCCAGTGGAATATAAATCAGGTCGACCAAAACTACACAGTTCCCCGTTTTTTCGTTGCAGGTCTGGCTCGTTGGCTTTGAGAAGAACAAGAAAAGTTGCATCCGGGACACATGGCTTCTGTCTGAATCGTACCAAGGAGGCAACCCGGCACACCTGGGTTCGTCGGGGACACGGGGAAATTAACATATATCACCTCTGGCTTTACCTCTTTGCCCGTTTACACCACGGGGAGAAAAGCCTAGAGCATGTGAATATGGAACAAGACAAGAAAAAAAAAGAGAAATGACCAACTTTTTCATCAAAGTCCAAAACAGTGGCATGGCGCTTTGTGTGTGTTACGAAATTCCCGAACATTGTTCTTTCTATCTTCTACTCACACACATGGTCTTTTCCATTTGCCATCTCTTTTTATACCCCGGACAAAAATTCAGCCAGAGCCATTCTACCCCGGATGTCTTTTCTTTCTCGTTATCTCATGCCATCGCATTCGGGCCCTGCTCTCCACCTTATCTTCTTAAGTCCTCCTTCCTCCCCTTCTAAGGCCTGGTCTAGCCCTTCTCCTCCGGCCGGGTTACCCTTCTACCCCATCCCCCAGCTATAATTCCTCCCCCACATCGTCCTTGTTTAATGTCGTAACGTTTCCTGAATATCACGCTTGAGGGTTCCAGTCCAGTCCAGTCGCGGGGTCTCTTCTCGCTCGTAGGATAAATATTCTATCGTCGCGTTGCTGTACAATAAAAAGCCCCACCTAGAGGAATGTTGACCGAAATGAACCCACTTACCCCTAAGAAATGGGAATTGGGATCATCATCCATTCCCCTCTTGTTTCGCCATGAGGTTGTGAAAGCCCGCCTTGACACAGAACCACGGGCATTTTTTCTGTTTTTTTCATTCCTTTTTTTTTTCCTTCCACGAGATTTTACGTCTAGAGGAAACCCGCCCACCGCACGCGACTCCCGCATTCAAAGAATTCTGTTTTCCTTCTGTTGATCAGCAAAACTGACTGAGTGGCTATGAGTATCGTGCGGGACAACCTAGGAATCAGGCCCTGCCATGTTCGGCAAACTTTATTGTACTTACATAACTCTTATGTTACTACACATATGTACTTGCACGTAACCCGTTACTCCACTGCGGGTGTGTGGGCGGACACTATCAATGAAGTCATGCCTCTAGGGGGGGGCTATGACATGATCTTGGCTTCATCGCATCTTACTCCAAACACATTGGAAAAATTCAATTGGTCAGGCACAGTTCAAACTGCGAATCCCGATTTTCGCACCTCGTGTGGTTTGGGGCAATCTGTAGCGGGGGCGTAGTAATTAATGCATAGATGTCCTCGGATGGTGGGTTGGATATATAAAGTGGTGGTGGGTGGAGTTGGTCTTGCGGATGCGCCGATCCCTCGAAGATAAAGGGTTAAATGGTCGGGAGGAAAGCCATTTCTTAGTCTTCAGCTGATAGACTGTCGGCTTGTGCTTATTTCATCTCTCTAATCTGTTTATTTTGTGTACTGGAGTAAATTTCTGAAGATAAAAATAGGTGCACAAGATCTTCATCGATCCTATTTGCGAATAGGAGTGGAAAACCGGCTGATCATCATACAACCCGAACCACGGCACAGAACACCTTCCGTGCCTCATGGAATTATTGAGATCAAGAAAAGATCATACATGTACATGAAGTTCAAAGGTTATACAGCAAAATAGAAACATGGAACTACGACTCCCTGTTCTTCCCAGAAACATTGGCGCAGCATATCATCATACAGCGGGTCGGTTCGGTCATATCATTATACACATCCAGTCATACGGAATCCCCGAGAATCAGATCTTACTGAGTACTACACCTGCGCGAGCGGGATGGTCGTCGAACTGCGACGATGCATGACCGCCGCCTTGACTGGATATTCCAGATCGAATGGGTCGCTGCGCGTGCTGACCCGCGCGCCCGGATCATAATACCCCTCGCCACCCCCGGCGTCCGAGAGCTCGTTGACGGTGAACGGGTAGCTGAGGCGGTTGAGGAGACTGCTTCCGGCACTGCTGCGGCCATTCGGGAGGATGAGCGTGCTGCCTAGGCTGACGTCGCCGCCGCTGTAGACGGAGCCGCCCCAGGCAATGGACACGGGGCGTTGCTGCTGGGACATCTGCGATCGGCGCAGGTGGGTGGAGGTGGAGGTGGAGGTGGTGGGCGATACGATTCCCGGGTTGGGATAGGGGTCGGCGAAAGGGTTGCGCATCACTCGGTCGCTTTGAACGGTCGTTCCACGGGATGACGTGGACTTGTAGGTAAATTCGAGGGGCTCGACGAATGGATTAGCGTTTGCAGCGCTGGGGATGGCGGAAGAGCGGGGGTCGTAGTAGGTGTATTCGGGTTTGGAGACGGGGACTCTGGCCACGTGAATGGGGAGTGAGCGGACAGAAGAGGAGGATTCGGAAAGAAAGGACCGGCGCGATTGGTACCCTGGACAAGAAGCACCACCTGGGAGTGCCACAGTAGGTATCTTTTCCGCCGTAAAACCTTCCTCACTTGTGCCGAGGCTCGGCGAGCCTCGACCAGTGCGTCGCTTCGAGCTCATGAAGTAATAACCTAAGACTAAAGCGAGCGCCACGAAGGCCAGTCCACCTAGCACACTGCCCAAGATGGTACGTAAGGGGGTGTTGGAGCTAGAGTCGTGGGGGAAATCTACGGGATCTGCTGAAGTGGTGTGGTTGCTGGAAGTCACATGCGCCGTGGTAGGTATGGCTGTCGATGCAGTACTGATTGGTAAAGACGTCTGGGGCGCTGATGTGATGAGGCTGGCTGCACCAAGCAAGTACTCAGAGTGCCCCGTCGACGATGGTTGCACGAGTTGGCTGGAGCTGAGACTCGGAGTTTGGGTGCTCGTCTGCGAAGACAGTGGGACGTGTTCATGTTGAACACTAGGAAGGTATGAGGTTGTGAAAGCACTAAGACTATCTGTTGTCGCGGTGGTTGCGACGGAACTGGGAAGCGTATCTGTAGAAATCGCGGCTGGAGCCTGCGACAGCCGCGTTGCTGCGGTCTGCGCAGGATATTCAAGTGAAATTTGAGAATGTGTGCGGGTTGCAATCGGATCATTTGCTGGGACAGTCTCATTGTCGATCAACGACGAAGCATCCGTGTTCGGGACGGCGATGTGAGTTCCTGCTGCCGGCCATGACAAGCTGGTTATTGCCGAAGGTGCCCCCGAGGGCACAGCAATGCTGGACTCTTGTGGGAACCTGGTGCACCTGGTACTCTGAAGAAGCAGACAAGCACCAGGCATGGACATGTCGCCAAGCCCGCAGGCCGAATAGCGCAATGCAAGTTTGCTGGATCCAAGGCCGAAGGCTTTAAAGATATAGACTGCATAAACGTCTGGTATAATTGCAAGAAAGAGAGACTTTCAGGCTATGAGGCCACAGGCGCGTAAAAGAGTGATAGCGCCGAGAGCACGATGGCAGCTGAAACGATCGACTAGAAACGAAAGGAGGGAGTGACAGAAAAGCAGGAATGACAGCAGCTCAGGGCATAGTCACTAAATTTTTCTCATTGTTCTTTTCCTCTATCTGGACAAGTCAGGCAGGCCATGACAGGGACGTCGAAGGCGACGACGGCCCGGTTGGACGGTATTGTTTCAGGATGCGGACGGGGAAGTAGAGGGCCAAAAAAAATCGGTCAAATGCGATTCCACGTGAAGAGGCGTCGAAGTTGATGTATCCAGGATGCTAAGGAACACAGCCTCGAAAAGGGCGAGAAAAACTGACACGAGAGGTTGACGCGAAGGAAAGAAAAAAGAAAACAGAACGGCTGGTCATCCTAGGATGATATCAACAGCAGGCAAGCTAATCTACCGAATGTGTTGGGGCCAGGCGCTTGTATGTGTGCATGTACGTAGAATTGGAAGCTGATATGCGAAGCAGGGGATAAAAAGCTGGATGAAACAGCAGAGCCACCAAAGTCGATCCGACCTGGAAGCAGAGACAGCTCTGACAAGATGGTCATATGGTTGCATAAGAGGGGTTCAGACCCTTTGGCCCCCCCCCTCGCGTGAGGAGCAGAAGAGTTCATACCTAGTACTCCGTAGTTCAGGGGACACTCAGGAAACACTTGATGATGATTGAGTGGAGAGAGCAAGGTGATGGATGGCGGGACTCGGGCCAATCATGGGGGGTAGGAATGGCGATGAAAGACCATGAAGAGTGAACTGTGCAATGAGATTGGCTTGCAATCATGCGAGCATGTTGGTATATAGGCATACAGGCATATTTGACAGATATTAGGTAGATCAACAATCCGAATTGCAGGTTAAGCATGAGCGTTAGATTGGGGAGAGTGTTTGACTCGACTGACGGGATACTTCAGCTCACTCTCTCGACTCGGGAGGTCAGACCACCTGATCGTCCCCTGGTCATTGGCTGATGCTCCCCTAGTCCTGAAGTAGACTAGTGTCGGCATCAGGTGCATGCTGAGTCACATAGACTAACCATATTTGGGCAAAGCCCCATTCTCCCACTGCGGTGATGGTTGCCTGAGGTTGGATCCATGATACGTCTGCCTACGTCTGCCTTTCCCCTCAATTGTTAGTTGGTTGTTCAATGATTTGACAATAGGAACAATTGGAACAAGGTCATGTCATGTAATGTGAGCAGACGGTTAGTTTGACATTATCTGGCTGTTGCTCTGTCTATGATTCATTGGCTGGCAAAGAGCAGGATCTATGCAAAGGTGTGCCATACGATTGATGTCATGGCAAGAGTGGTTCCTCGCCTGCGCCCAAGGAAAGGCTCCTGACACTCCCAAGGATCTGCCCCAAACTCCGCCAAAACTCACTCATTAATGAGACTAATGAAACTAATGGGCATGGAGACCCTCGAAGGATGGTTGCCAAATGAGCTTGTCCACGTCCCTTGGGCTTGTCCTGGCCTTCTCCTGTTTCTTGCCCGCCACTCCAGAGTTTCCCCGCATTGTGTGTGTGTCTTGTAAGTTATACATGAGTAGTTGATCTTCACACAAGAGTAGAACGTGGTCGAGAGTGTATTCAGTCAAGTCGATATGCAGGCAGTTTAAAGGTCATTGGCAAAGCGACAGACCGGTAAGAGTGATAGGATCAGGAGACCCCCTCGAAGCGATAATCGTCAGTAAGTACTCGAGTAGTTAGTTATCTAGTCTAGTGAGAAGTAAGTGAGTGAGTGAGTGAGTGAGTGAGTGCATGACAATGACCATGACCGGGGAATGAATAAATCAATGATGGATAATTGGAGTAAAACCCGCTGTTGATCCTTTCTGCCTCTTGCTGCCTCTTACCACAAGAGCTTCGCTTCTGTTGAAAAGATAGGTAACTACTCTACTTGTCTGTTCGTCTTGCTTCATTCTTAATCATCCCACATTTCCCTCTTTCCCCCCTCAATCCAATTCACCACCCACTTTTTTTTGCCATCGCTGGTTGGCGCTAATCTCCACCCCAACTTTTACTACCCACTCTTCATTCATTCTTCTTCTGCTTCGTCTCCTTCTTCTCTAACATTGGGAGATTACTATTTATCTCCCCCGCCCCCCTCCCTTTGTCTACATGTGTACTATTCACAGCTGCATGACCCCCATTGATTGATCAATCGATCAATTGGTCGCTCCGCCTCTGTTTAATTAGTGCTGTGCAATTCGGCTTGAATAGCTTTCTTCCTCTCCCTTTCTCACCTTATTCCCTTACACCTTACATTTGACCCATCAAAGCGCTCTCTTCTCTCTCCCCCTCTCTTTCCCTCTCTGCTTGGGTGGCGTGCACACGAACCACCGGTACAGTACCTTACAGGTTATCTCCTCCCACACTTGCACGTCTCTCCCCTGTGTGATCGATCGACTTTCCCGGCATCATGTTCGGGTGGTCTGGTTCGCTGGGTAAGGCTGCCCGTTTCCTACTATTCTTTGGACAATCTTCCCTCTCATGCAAATCGTTGCTCTCGTACATCAACCACTGTTCTTATCTCAATGGCCCCCATGCAGGACCCTGTAATCACAGCACAGACTCCGCGACATAAGCGGCGGCTCTGCTGGCCTCGTGGTTACCTGAAGCCACAGAGTTCTTTTGCTTCGGTCGCGCAATGGTCTTTGGGGTCAATTCTGCCTTGTGCCTATGTTTCCGAGGGCCCCATACCCCCCAGTGGCTCGTCGGTCGGCTCTCTGCCCAATATGAGCCACGCCCGA